GTCCCTCCCACAGGTGCCGTCCTTCCCAAACTGATCCGGCGTGGGCTTCCCACCGGCAGCAGCTCCTCGAGAACTGCTCCAGTATGGCTCCGTCCCACAGGCTCCATCCCTCAGGAGCACACTGCTCCAGCCTGGGTCCCCCCCGGGCAGCAGCTCCCCCTCCATCCCCTGCTCTTGCATGGGCTCCTCTCCACGGGCTACAGGGCTGGCCCAGAATCTGCTCCGGCAGGGGTCTTGCACAGGCCACAGCCTCTGTCACTGCAGGGCCACCTGCTCCAGCGGGGGCTCCTCCACGGGCTGCAGCGTGGAGCCCTGCTCCACTGTGGTACTCCATGGGCTGCAGGGGGACAGCCTGCTGCACCAGGGGCCTCTCCACAGGCTGCAGGGGACTTGGGCTGCGTGCCTGGAGCACCTCTCCTCCTCTCTCCTTCTTCACTGATCTTGGCGCCTGCAAGGCTGTTTCTCACTCCTTTCCCTCTCCCAGCTGCTGTGTAGACATGTTTGTTTTAGTTGGTTTTTGTTTTTTTCCCCTGTCTTTAATACGCTCTCCCAGAGTCGTTGCTTGTTGGCTTGGCTCTGGCCAGCAGCGGGGCCCTCATCTAACATGGGGCAGCTTCTGGAGTCTTCTCACAGAAGCCACCCCTACGGCCCCCTGCTACCCAAACCTTGCCACAGAAACCCACTAGAGATGCGAGGCTGGGACACGAAGTAGCAACAATGTCACGTCCAGGCCCAGTCCTGCCCAGCCTCTTCATGAATGATGCGCAGGGCGGAGCAGGCCGTGCCCTCAGCAAGTCTGCTGCTGATCCAAGCTGGGAGGAGATAGGGATGCACCAGAGGGTGGTGCTGCCCTCCAGAGGGCCCTGGGCAGGCCGGAGAAATGGCCTGGCAGGATCCTCCTGGAGTTGGCGCCAGGGAAGCTTGAAGCTGAGGCCCTGGGGAGGAAAGCTGGAGAGCCCGAGGCTTGTTGGAGTTGCCCCAGCTGGAGGCCTGGGTCCAGTTCTGGGCTCCCCAGGACAGGAGAGCCATGGGCCTACTGGAGGGAGCGCAGTGAATGGCAGCCAAGCTGGTGGCAGGACTGGAGCATCTGTCCTCTGGGGAGAGCTGGAGAGAGCCGTGACTGCTCGTTGTGGAGAAGGCCTGTGGGGATCTGGCTGAAGGATCTCAATATGTGAAGAGAAGGTGCAAAGGAGATGGAGCCAGGCTCTTCTCAGTGGTGCCCAGTGTCCACGTGGCTGCAGGTGGCCCTGCTTGAGCATGGGGGTTGGAGCAGGTGACCTGCAGAGGTGCCTTCCAAGCCCGAGCCCACTGTGTGTCCGGTGGTTTTGCAGGGACCTGAACCAAAGCGCGGCCATTCAGCCAGGCCCGAGCAGTCGTGTTCTTGTCCCTTCCTTCTTTCTGGGCATCCTCTGCCTCCCTGTAGCATTCTCAAGGGTTAGTAGTGGTGGGAAGAGCAAGAAGAGCCTTTTCTGCAAAGACCTGTGCTTGCGATGGGGCTGGGCCTGGCACTTGTAGTCTTGTGAACCTGGTGTGTCTTCGTGGGCACCTGGCCCTTTCCTCTGCAGCTGGGAGTGGTTGGGGGTGGTCCTGAGCAAGGAAGGGGCTGTGGCCTCCTGTGTAGGGGAAGCTCCAGGCTGGCTGGTGACTGCAAGGGAGAGCTGAGGCGAGGCTGGCCTCCAGAGCAAGCCAGGAGGTGTTGTGTCAGTATGGGAGGCGGGGAGGCTTATATTGATGAAGTACCTTCTATCTATCCTTCTATTTGCAGCCAGACCATTGCTGCAACTTGTTTGGCTTGAACTCTCTTTGCTGGAGCCCCTTCACAGGACACCGTATTTCAATCCATAATGCTGAAAGGAGAATATTGCTGTCTTTGGGTGGTAACTCTGCTTAGAGCCTTCTTCCAAAGCGGAGGCTGAGCATCAGCTTCTGGTAGGAGAAGGTAGTTCGAGGCCACAACCACTTTTAAGTTATTCTTTAATAAATATATTCCTTTAATGATAGTAAAACCAAAAAAGTGTTGGGCTAAATGTTTGTGCTCCAGTCCTGATTTGGTTGGTCTGTCTCTGCCTTGACTCTTCTCCGAGTTGTTCAAGTGCCCACGTGCTGAGGCTCTGCTTCTGCTCAGCACAGCACTGGGGGTCAGCTTCCTGCTTGGTGGTCAGGTCTGCTTTGTTAAATAGCAGTGCCTCCTTTCTTCTTTTTTCTTTTTTGAGGGGTGGGTGTTTTGCGTGTATTTATGTCTTAGTCTGAGTGTTCAAGAAGCGATAATCATGTAGACAAAAAACCAAAACCACTTTATTTGTACAGGCAAATGCAAGCGAGCCGCAGCACACTGTGCTCCCCCTGGAGCATCTGTCCCCAGGCCGGGATCAGGGCTGTGGCCGGCTGTAGGGGCTGTGGCGCTGGGGCAGCACCCTGCCACGGCCGGCTCTCCTCTCCGGTGGTGAGGGTGAGGAGCTGGGAGCTGCAAGGGGAGGCAGGAAGGTCAGCGGATGTGCCCACCCTGCCTGGCCTGCAGAGGGCACGGAGGGCTCTGGCGCCCCGAGCCTGAGCACGCCGTGCCCCTTACCAGTGCCAGTGCCCGGGCCAGCGCAGCCAGCGCACTCCCACTGCTGCGTGGTGTCCCCAAGGCCGGAGCATCGGCGGTGGGTCCCGCTGGCGGCACAGGAGGAGCAGAGCAGCAGCTGCCAGGGCCTGGGGAAGAAGTTGTGCTGGTGAGCACGCAGAGCCCAGCAGGCAGTGGCGCCACAAAGGCCCCCAAGGCTCCAGAAGCATTGCTCACGGCGCCCCAGCAGAGGGGAAGGTGCCTGGGCAGAGCCCCAGCAGCCACTGCACGGCTTGCTGGAGATGTGGCTCACAGCCCCCAGCAGCCGGGGAGCTGCTGCTGTGGATGCTCACCCTTCCTCTTGCCACTGCTCGCGGCCTCCCCTGTACAGGCACTGCCTGGCATCGCAGCGGCCATACAGCTGCGGCAGTGCCGGCTCCTCCTCCTCGTCTTGCTCCCAAGCCGGCTTTCTTCAAGAGAAAGTAGGAAAGAAAGGTCACGAGCTCCTGGGGCACTCACTCAGCAAGTGTCAGTGCTGATGCTGGGACAGGGCTCAGGGGCATCCCTGGCGGCAGGCCAGCATCCTCCTGTCCCCCAGGCAGGCAGCCCCTTTTGTTGGGGACAGTCTGCCTGGAGGGATTAGGGCCTGGGGCTGTGCCCTCTCCTGCCTTGAGTGGGGTGGGAAGGAAGGAAGGAAGGAAGGAAGGAAGGAACGCACTTGTTGGGCACGCGGATTCCCATGTGCAGCATCTCAGGGAGAAAGCGCTCCCGGTCCCGGCAGTGAGGACACGCAAAGTGCCTGAGGCCCGCCCGAAGCGCCTGTCCCTGTGGAAGAGAGACTCCCCGTGTGAGCAGGACGCCGCTGCGGGCGCATGGTGTCCCTGCGGGCTGGCAGAGGGAAGGGCCTCCTACCTGGATGCAGCCGCGGTGGAACCAGGCGTGCTTGCAGGAGGGGCACACCATGGTGGTGTAGGAGAGGCTGTCCTCCACCACCTCCATGCAGATGATGCACGTGGTGTGCCCCTCCTGCAGCGTCTCCACGCTCTGCTGCGGGCGGTGCTCCCAGCAGAAGGAGCTGCGTGAGGACGGAAGAGTTGAGTGAGGCCAGGGACCACGCGTGCCACACCGGGGACTCTGCCTGCAGGGCGCAGGCTGAGGGGGCTGCAGCCCAAGCTAGGGCAGCTCGTACCTGTAGTCCCCAAAGAACTGCGAGATGCAGCCCCGCTGGGAGCTGCAGGGCAGGTGGAAGCGGCGCGAGCAGCGCTTCTGCCAGCAGGCGACGGTGGCCCCCTTCTTGCGGCAGACGCAGCAGCGCTGCAAAGAGCACAGCAGCCCCGTCAGGGACGTGGCCGGGGCCACTGGCACTTGCCCGGAGCTTGTGCAGAGCCTCGAGGATTTCTTTGCCAGGGCTTGGGCTCAGCTGCCACAAGCCTCGTCTGCTCCAAAAAAGCCCTCACCTTGCGAGCTGCCCGACCCGCTACCCGCCTGATATCCGCGCAGAGGAATCCGAAGATTCCTTCCCCTTCAGCGCCTCGCTGGTACAGGCCCTGGGCTGGAAACTGGAAGAGAGCAAAGCCCCGCAGCTGCTCAGGGCAAGGAGATAGGGACCATGGTGGGGAGGCTGTGCTGGCAGCGCAGCAGGAGGAGGTGACAGCCAGCGAGCAGCGCGCTGGGGATGCCACAGTCCTGTGGGCTCCAGGTGCCAGGCAAGGGCTTGGGGAAAGGCGCGGGCAGCCGCGGGGAGCTCACCAGGCAGTGCACGTGGGCGCAGACCCCGTCCACCTGCAACATCGGCCCGCAGCCATCCAAGCTGGTGTCCGAGCGGTGGCACAGCACGCACTCTGGGGGAGGCAGGGCGGCAGCCATGGATGAGAGCATCCCCCCACTGAGCACCTGGCAGGTGTCCCCGAGGGACGCCCGCAAGGGCCTGCTCGGGGGCTCCTGGCAGGGCGTCCCCGGGTGTCCACAGCCCAAGCGGCTCTGCACAGCCCCAGGGGGTGCTCAGGGCCCTCCACCTCCAGGGAGCTGCTGGGGCATCTGCTCTCACCGTCCTCCTGTGCCTCAGGGGCCTTCTCCTCCTCTCCGGCAGCCATGCTGCGCAGCAACTCCTCGCCTCGCCTGGCCTCGCCTCGCTGCCAGGAGCTGCTGCCTCCACGCCTGGCGCTCACCAGAGACGCAAAGTCCCCCCCAGACTCGCCTGTGTCACTGGTGTCATAGTGCTCCCTCCGTGTCACTAGGAGACCATGGAGTGGTGGATGATGCGGCAGGGCCCAGGAGCTCCCCCAGCCTCACAGACACCCCCTGGGCTTCCAAGCCCACGGTGCAGCCTCTTCATCCCCGTGAATGGCCGTGGTGGCTTGGCCTAGGCTGGCGGCCAGGTGCCCACCCAGCTGCTGTCTCGTTCCCTCCTCAGCTGGGGAAGGGAGAGAAAATTCGAGGGAGAAACCCTCGTGGCTTGTGAGGAGGGCACAGGGAGATGGCTCACGGGCTGCAGGAGAAGCAGAGAAGTGAGAAACAAAGAAACAAAAGGAAACAACAACAACAACAACAACACCTTTCCCCCACCCGTCCTCTTCCCCCTCTTCCCCCCGAGTGGCGTAGGAGAATGCGGGAATGGGGGCTGCGGTCAGTCTGTAGCACTTGGTCTCTGCCGCTGCTTCTCGGTCACTCTTGTCCCCTGCTCCAACGTGGGGTCCCTCCCACAGGTGCCGTCCTTCCCAAACTGATCCGGCGTGGGCTTCCCACAGGCAGCAGCTCCTCGAGAACTGCTCCAGTATGGCTCCGTCCCACAGGCTCCATCCCTCAGGAGCACACTGCTCCAGCCTGGGTCCCCCCCGGGCAGCAGCTCCCCCTCCATCCCCTGCTCTTGCATGGGCTCCTCTCCACGGGCTACAGGGCTGGCCCAGAATCTGCTCCGGCAGGGGTCTTGCACAGGCCACAGCCTCTGTCACTGCAGGGCCACCTGCTCCAGCGGGGGCTCCTCCACGGGCTGCAGCGTGGAGCCCTGCTCCACTGTGGTACTCCATGGGCTGCAGGGGGACAGCCTGCTGCACCAGGGGCCTCTCCACAGGCTGCAGGGGACTTGGGCTGCGTGCCTGGAGCACCTCTCCTCCTCTCTCCTTCTTCACTGATCTTGGCGCCTGCAAGGCTGTTTCTCACTCCTTTCCCTCTCCCAGCTGCTGTGTAGACATGTTTGTTTTAGTTGGTTTTTGTTTTTTTCCCCTGTCTTTAATACGCTCTCCCAGAGTCGTTGCTTGTTGGCTTGGCTCTGGCCAGCAGCGGGGCCCTCATCTAACATGGGGCAGCTTCTGGAGTCTTCTCACAGAAGCCACCCCTACGGCCCCCTGCTACCCAAACCTTGCCACAGAAACCCACTAGAGATGCGAGGCTGGGACACGAAGTAGCAACAATGTCACGTCCAGGCCCAGTCCTGCCCAGCCTCTTCATGAATGATGCGCAGGGCGGAGCAGGCCGTGCCCTCAGCAAGTCTGCTGCTGATCCAAGCTGGGAGGAGATAGGGATGCACCAGAGGGTGGTGCTGCCCTCCAGAGGGCCCTGGGCAGGCCGGAGAAATGGCCTGGCAGGATCCTCCTGGAGTTGGCGCCAGGGAAGCTTGAAGCTGAGGCCCTGGGGAGGAAAGCTGGAGAGCCCGAGGCTTGTTGGAGTTGCCCCAGCTGGAGGCCTGGGTCCAGTTCTGGGCTCCCCAGGACAGGAGAGCCATGGGCCTACTGGAGGGAGCGCAGTGAATGGCAGCCAAGCTGGTGGCAGGACTGGAGCATCTGTCCTCTGGGGAGAGCTGGAGAGAGCCGTGACTGCTCGTTGTGGAGAAGGCCTGTGGGGATCTGGCTGAAGGATCTCAATATGTGAAGAGAAGGTGCAAAGGAGATGGAGCCAGGCTCTTCTCAGTGGTGCCCAGTGTCCACGTGGCTGCAGGTGGCCCTGCTTGAGCATGGGGGTTGGAGCAGGTGACCTGCAGAGGTGCCTTCCAAGCCCGAGCCCACTGTGTGTCCGGTGGTTTTGCAGGGACCTGAACCAAAGCGCGGCCATTCAGCCAGGCCCGAGCAGTGTCGTGTTCTTGTCCCTTCCTTCTTTCTGGGCATCCTCTGCCTCCCTGTAGCATTCTCAAGGGTTAGTAGTGGTGGGAAGAGCAAGAAGAGCCTTTTCTGCAAAGACCTGTGCTTGCGATGGGGCTGGGCCTGGCACTTGTAGTCTTGTGAACCTGGTGTGTCTTCGTGGGCACCTGGCCCTTTCCTCTGCAGCTGGGAGTGGTTGGGGGTGGTCCTGAGCAAGGAAGGGGCTGTGGCCTCCTGTGTAGGGGAAGCTCCAGGCTGGCTGGTGACTGCAAGGGAGAGCTGAGGCGAGGCTGGCCTCCAGAGCAAGCCAGGAGGTGTTGTGTCAGTATGGGAGGCGGGGAGGCTTATATTGATGAAGTACCTTCTATCTATCCTTCTATTTGCAGCCAGACCATTGCTGCAACTTGTTTGGCTTGAACTCTCTTTGCTGGAGCCCCTTCACAGGACACCGTATTTCAATCCATAATGCTGAAAGGAGAATATTGCTGTCTTTGGGTGGTAACTCTGCTTAGAGCCTTCTTCCAAAGCGGAGGCTGAGCATCGGCTTCTGGTAGGAGAAGGTAGTTCGAGGCCACAACCACTTTTAAGTTATTCTTTAATAAATATATTCCTTTAATGATAGTAAAACCAAAAAAGTGTTGGGCTAAATGTTTGTGCTCCAGTCCTGATTTGGTTGGTCTGTCTCTGCCTTGACTCTTCTCCGAGTTGTTCAAGTGCCCACGTGCTGAGGCTCTGCTTCTGCTCAGCACAGCACTGGGGGTCAGCTTCCTGCTTGGTGGTCAGGTCTGCTTTGTTAAATAGCAGTGCCTCCTTTCTTCTTTTTTCTTTTTTGAGGGGTGGGTGTTTTGCGTGTATTTATGTCTTAGTCTGAGTGTTCAAGAAGCGATAATCATGTAGACAAAAAACCAAAACCACTTTATTTGTACAGGCAAATGCAAGCGAGCCGCAGCACACTGTGCTCCCCCTGGAGCATCTGTCCCCAGGCCGGGATCAGGGCTGTGGCCGGCTGTAGGGGCTGTGGCGCTGGGGCAGCACCCTGCCACGGCCGGCTCTCCTCTCCGGTGGTGAGGGTGAGGAGCTGGGAGCTGCAAGGGGAGGCAGGAAGGTCAGCGGATGTGCCCACCCTGCCTGGCCTGCAGAGGGCACGGAGGGCTCTGGCGCCCCGAGCCTGAGCACGCCGTGCCCCTTACCAGTGCCAGTGCCCGGGCCAGCGCAGCCAGCGCACTCCCACTGCTGCGTGGTGTCCCCAAGGCCGGAGCATCGGCGGTGGGTCCCGCTGGCGGCACAGGAGGAGCAGAGCAGCAGCTGCCAGGGCCTGGGGAAGAAGTTGTGCTGGTGAGCACGCAGAGCCCAGCAGGCAGTGGCGCCACAAAGGCCCCCAAGGCTCCAGAACCATTGCTCACGGCGCCCCAGCAGAGGGGAAGGTGCCTGGGCAGAGCCCCAGCAGCCACTGCACGGCTTGCTGGAGATGTGGCTCACAGCCCCCAGCAGCCGGGGAGCTGCTGCTGTGGATGCTCACCCTTCCTCTTGCCACTGCTCGCGGCCTCCCCTGTACAGGCACTGCCTGGCATCGCAGCGGCCATACAGCTGCGGCAGTGCCGGCTCCTCCTCCTCGTCTTGCTCCCAAGCCGGCTTTCTTCAAGAGAAAGTAGGAAAGAAAGGTCACGAGCTCCTGGGGCACTCACTCAGCAAGTGTCAGTGCTGATGCTGGGACAGGGCTCAGGGGCATCCCTGGCGGCAGGCCAGCATCCTCCTGTCCCCCAGGCAGGCAGCCCCTTTTGTTGGGGACAGTCTGCCTGGAGGGATTAGGGCCTGGGGCTGTGCCCTCTCCTGCCTTGAGTGGGGTGGGAAGGAAGGAAGGAAGGAAGGAAGGAAGGAAGGAACGCACTTGTTGGGCACGCGGATTCCCATGTGCAGCATCTCAGGGAGAAAGCGCTCCCGGTCCCGGCAGTGAGGACACGCAAAGTGCCTGAGGCCCGCCCGAAGCGCCTGTCCCTGTGGAAGAGAGACTCCCCGTGTGAGCAGGACGCCGCTGCGGGCGCATGGTGTCCCTGCGGGCTGGCAGAGGGAAGGGCCTCCTACCTGGATGCAGCCGCGGTGGAACCAGGCGTGCTTGCAGGAGGGGCACACCATGGTGGTGTAGGAGAGGCTGTCCTCCACCACCTCCATGCAGATGATGCACGTGGTGTGCCCCTCCTGCAGCGTCTCCACGCTCTGCTGCGGG